TTTACTCCAGCGTGACTCTTTTTCCTGACTTTTAGAAACAAGAGGCAGAAAAGAAAGAATAAAAGTTAAAACCTCGACGATTTTCAAATATTTTAGGACATTATTTTAGAAACAACCTTAAGCACTATTTACTACTTACCACTTTGTTCAGGCTTGCTGACGTTCGACATGCTTCACTGTATATTATAATCTCAAGCGCTTCCTTGCTGGAGTCGGGCTCCGGATGCTGCTCTCTTCCTCCGGAGCCTTCCTCTTAGCACGCTTTGCCGACATATTTAGAAAACGGCAGAGCACCGAAGTGAGAACTCTGCCGTCCGCGCTGTAGTCTGTTATTCTCCAGCGGTTCTTCATCTCAGTGTCCTCTGTTCGGTAAACAGTGGAGATGACTCTGGTGACGGGGAGGCCGTCGACAGTCAGGGTGCGGACGCAGTTCCTCCGGTCTGCCTTCAGCACAGCGAGATATGCTTTCTCGGGAAGAACTGGAGTCAGGAAGCGTGGATAAGAACTGGAGCCCGCAGGCGGCAGCATCCTCCCAGCTGGTGAGTCCGTAGGAGGAGAAGGAGCGGTGTTCTCTCTCTGGCTCAGCCTCACATGGACAAATGGAGTCGTCACCTGGTCCCGGTGGAGCAATCCTTTAAACAGTATGTGAGGAAAGTCCTTGGACCCTGTCACCAGGTTATGGTATAGAGTGAGGACCAGGTGGGACATGGAGTCCAGATTGCTGTTGGTCAGTTGACGGTTCCTCAAGTTAATGACGACCATCTGACGTGAAATGGTTGGACTCACCAGCTCAGCTACGAGGAAACAAAGCGTGCGTCTACATTAATCATGTGATCGCACAAATTAAAGCCTGAATTTAAATTGTCAAGACATGGCTTTACATCATCATGTTATTCCACACACAGTAAGAAGCTCCCAGCAGAACTCATTGTTTATGAAAGCCTTCACATTTTCATGTGGTGTAAGGCTGCATGGATTCTCATTGAGGTTTTAATACGCATTCACATTAAGGACTAACGTTTTCATATTAGTTGAGCAACAATCTGCTGAGAATAAAGCAGCTGCATTTAGGTGAGAAACCTCACACCTCCTCATTGGAGGCGCACAGCAGTCTGACATATTATATTATACCTTTTAGCCTGCTGTACTTAACATAGCATTGATCTTTCTCACGCTCAATGAAAAGGGATAGCAGGTGCATCTAGCGATCTAAGTCGGCAGAAGTCATTTTGCAATTCCTTCGTTTCTTGAAGAGTTCGGAAAATCCGAGTTTTCACAGCACTAGTAGGAAAAAGCTCCTGTTTGCAATGAAATGTGAACCGAATTCCAATTTTCCTTCTGCTTTTATATCCGTAGCTCAAACACGCCATCCTCATCACCATGACTCCCAGTGTCACCTAAAACCAATTTCATTTATTCAAAAGAAAAAATTATTTTTCTCATTTAATTTTACTATTTCATGTTCTCTTTTTTGCCAATCTTTGTGGTTTTCTATGCTGTGGAAAAAAGAAAAAAAAATCACCACTTTATAAAAAAAATTACTGAAATTCATAACGACTATTCAGACTTGATGCAGCCTCAATCATCCAGGAAAGTAAATCTCCAAAAGTTGATTCTGTTCATCTGGACGTAGTGAGTGGGAGAAACATTTCGTCACTCATCCAAGTGACTTCTTTGCCAATGTTGTGATGTTGTGCCAAAAAGTAATCTGTGTCCAAGAAGTAATTAACAGTATTTAAAGCTATCGAGTATTTGTCTTTCAGCTTGCTCTGAAGAACACAGGTCTTTACCATTAGGCTCCCTACTGTTGTGTAAGCAAAAATGCTGAGTGTAACTCAGGTTTTCTGAAGATTGAGATTTCTGATCATTTGGCAGTCATTGAATGCATCGCAGCACGTCATTAGCCGTTTCCAGGCATCCATGAAAACAGAATTTATTAAATTTAAGTTAGCAGGGAATTTGCTCGCTAGTTTTCACCCAGGCATAATATAGCATGTTCTGACTGAGAGATATCTGAAAAAATAAAAAAAATAAAAGTTGAAGCGAGGGTTCCCGATGGTTAGGGACAAATGCAGTTGCTTGGCAGGATCCTGCAAAGAACCAAACTTC